TGTATTATTTTATAGAGTAAGTATATATCCATCCTCTTCTTTTTAAACTTACATCTTTACCTTCATCAAACTACTTAGCCACTGCTACAGCCTCTGACTAATTATTAAGCATTTTCCACTTTAAGTACAAACAGTTCCTTATTTTCTACATAGTGTTGGAATTAAGGTAAAATATCTTCTGACATCCCTAAATCTTCTATTTTGTTTTATCTTTCTATCTATGTATTTTGATTTATACAATAATCCCTTTGTTCCATTCAACTTCAGTCTATAATCTGTAGATAGAATGCCAAAATGAGAGAAAACAATTGTGATGATGAACTCTATTGAGGTCTCTGTAAAATAGCTATCAAAATTTTATGATGCTGTTGAGGGTTTTGAAAATATGGCATATCATTAATTAGTAACTGCTAAAAATGAGATGAAAGGTTTATTTACACTTGCTGTCATAGTTTGAAACATCTGTATGTTCTGTTCACAACAGGTGTTCAAATAACTGTTGTGGGTGACTGTCAATGGTGGCTCCTAATGACTTCATAATGAAGTAATTACTCATGTGTCATGTTAAAGCTATTTCACAGAGATCATGCACTGATGATTTTGAGCAGACACACAGTATTGCAAATACTTCAGTAAGATAAATAATTTCTACCTTATAATGTTCCTTAACCTCAGTCAAATGTCCTAACTAAGATGTCTTACCAATACTGTAATGACAATGGATACAATTACAAATTCATACCCATAACACGACAAAGTTTTATCTGAAGTGTCAAAGTAAAAGTCAACTACGAAATGAATTATTAGTTTTCAAAGTAGCAGCATCTGCTCTGTGAATATCCATGGAGTGTGTTCCAACTTCCATTCCTCAATTCTTTATTTAAAAGAGGGTATTTCTCAAAAGAGACACATGGAAGCAAGCAAATAGCACAATGTTGTCAAACCAAAACTTTGATATCAAACTATTATGTATGCTCTGCTTATGGAAAAGATTATTTAAAACATATTTAATGCAAGTATACTACAATATCTCCTCCAATTACAACTGTGCTATTAAGATTTTTTCTTTGTTTTATACTTTCTTCTTTTCAAGTAATAATGTATACACTGGATATCCAAGAGATGTGATATTTAAGTAGACTTGACTTCAGTAATAAAGACTACCTGCCTCAAAACATATGTACAATTTGTGGCACAAATGAACTTTTCAAATCTTTTTATTAATTCATTGTGAGAGTCACAAAATGTATTTTGATCAATTTCATTGAACTCCTCCCAGAAACCCCCCAACATAACTAATCACCCAACTTTGTGTTATCTTTCTTTTTCTCTCATTTCCAACAATTACCTGTTGTCCAGTTACCCTTGAATATCGGGTCTGGCCTGGCATGTGGTAATATACCATTGCAGAAAATTGCCACTTAATCTCCTTGCAGAGAAAATGCCAATTGTGCATCAGCATCAGCAGGGATTTTGCTAGCTTCTGACTTGAGCTTGTACAGATTTTATCCATGGTTTCATTACCTGTGTGAGTTCATATGTACATCTTCCATTTGTGACCACAATACCTTAGAAAAGTGTGTGTGTGTGTGTGTGTGTGTGTGTGTGTGTGTGTGTGTGTGTGTGTGTATGTGATCTCTGGTTCTTCTCCCTCTTCTGTGAAGATCTCTGAACCTTGAAAGAGGAAGGAAGACATACACATGAAGCATGCCACAATCACTTATTCTCTACTTGTTGTCCAAACGTCTCTATAACAGCTGTCATTACTGCAAGAAGCTAGTGAGAGTTGAGATCCATTGTTCTATGGGATTGTCACAGTGTCATTGAAATAATGTTGATATCCAGTCTATTCAGCAGCATAACCGTCTAGCTACCATTCTTGGCCACCATTGCAGTACCAGATAACAATTCTTTCTTAAAGATAATTAGAGGATGATTGTTGCTTCCATAATATCAATGATTTATATGTAGCACTAGTAGGCCTATATTGCTAGGCGTGTGTCATTTTTAATCACAGGAGTCAAAAGAGGAGTTTTTATTTTTTGGTGATGTTGCTTTGTTTTGTTTTTGCTTGTTTCTTTCATTGTTTACTTTTTGTGTCTCCTTGAAATATGGTTCTTTGTTATAGGGAATAACCATTTAATTTCTGTGTGTGTGTGTGTGTGTGTGTGTGTGTATGATGCACATATGTAAGGAAGCAATAGTAAGTTTCCATATGACATTTTCAGAAATCTATAGGAAATTTTAGGAAAACATTACCTAGCAATTTTAATGCTATACTGAAGATGAAGAAACAACATAACATAAACAAATATTCACACGCATGCTAGCATGCTATGTATCATGTGCCATCATGACAAGCACTGTAATCATCTGGGAAGAGGGACCATTGATTGAGAATCTTTTCACCACATTGGACTTAGGCAATGCCGTAGTGGTGCATTTTCATGATCAATTAATGATGCTAGAGCAGAGTGGTGCCAGCCCTTGTCCAGTGGTCTAGTGTATAATAAAGCAAGCTGAAGAAATTTCGGAAAGCAAGGCAGTTAACAACATAAGTTTCATGGTTTTTGTTCATTTTCTGTACCCAGGGTCCTGCATTTCATTCCTCCACTGACTTCATGCAGTGATAGAGTGTGACCTGAGATTTGTAAGCTGAAACAAACTGCTTCCTCCCCAAGTTGCTTTTGGCCATGGTGTTTTATCACAGCAATAGAAACCTCAGTAACACAATATTCCTTGAAGGAACTTAACTGAATGTTATAATGAAACCAATAGAACTGCATATTTGCGTACTATGTTTGAACTGGATAACCTAGCAACATATTTCTTTAAAATCAAATACTGTCTGTGCTAACGCAGAATTTTAAAATCAAATGACATCTTCATTATGTTGTGTTTTCTAAGTAGTTTAAATAAAATCAAACTAGGGCCCAGGAAGTTGAGGTGCCACATTACTGTATCTTGAGGTTTACTTTTGCCAGGCTGGTTCCCCGGCCATATTTCCTCATGACCTTCTCTTACTGCAGGAAAGATCTGGGCCTCTTGCTCCATTGGGGTCTACATTGTGTCTGTTCAGTGTCTCTGCAGAGGAGATAAGCGAGAGCAGAGAAGAGAGCAATTTCCTGCTTGTCCCTGCTTAAATACTGATTCTACTCTGCTATGTCAGTTCTTGCCTGGATCATGGATCAAATGGCGACCCAGCTTTACTATATTTCCCATAATCCTCCTTGACTCCTAGTCCCGCCTATCTTGCTTCCCCAGTGGCCAACGGTGCTTAATCAACAATCAATAACAAACATGTACAGAAGACTTCCCCTATCACAATACTACTTAGTAATTTTGTGATAGAATAGTGACTAAACTGTGTTTTGTTTTTCTAAATTGCCTGGTTTATTTCAGTTTTTTTTCAAAAATTCTTTGTGAGTATACTTGTTGAAGGAAACCTATTAACTACATAAGAAAGGTGAGAAATAACAACAAAATTAAAGATCCTTTACATAAATGAACTATGGAATTAAAATATATGTTCTGAAAACCTGCTAATGATAACCATTTTTAAAAAAAGGAGAGGAAAATGCTAAAGTACCTTTTTCACCCTTTGAATATACATACATATAAGTTTAGGTCTATGGTTTAGCATTGTTAATTACATTTACAGCACTACAAATTGAACATCACCTTTTCTCCTGTGAAGCTGTAATTATTTGGAGCAGAAAGACAGCAATGCTGTACAAGTTAATCTATGCAGCAGCACATGACATGCTTAATTACTATGGCTGAATAATATATTTGTATACCATGGTGCATATTGGAATGTCTGTTAGAGGACAATTTTCTTGTTTCTCCCTTAAGAATACCTTATCTTTTGTTTATATAATAAACAGATCTTTCATATTTTTCATTGTGAGATTAGCCTTTAACATCTGAGCCACCCCTCCAGCCCATAAATGGATCTTTTATATCATTTTTTCTATAACATAAACTCTCCCACTCTCTCTGTACCCCCATGTATATGAGTGTGAAATAATATGTGTGCTTTATGATTATGAGTACACACACATATATATATATGCATACATGCCTAGACTAGAGCAGAACATCTGGTACTCTGTTCTATTCCTCTCCACCTTAGTACATAGAAATGGTGTTGGTGACTGCACCCAAAACAAGGTTGCTGCCTTGTTAGAAATCTTACTATACCTACCTCACTCTCCACAGTTCCAGGGTTATGTGCACTCACATAACCATGACTAACTTTTTACATGAGTTCTGTGCATGTAAACTGTGCATGCTTTTGGTGCAGTGTTCTTACCTGCTGAACCATCTCCACAGTCATCATATAGCATCAACTGTTATTTTTCCTAAAGGCTAATTATTTACTTTATATGAAAGGAATATCATGTATGATATCTGTTGTCAGAAAGATAATAGCCAGTGGTAGATCTTTAAATATTTTAATTGATTATTATTTATTTTATGCACACATTTTAAAATGATATGTCATGAGAAGTGAATAAGAACAGTGGAAGAGAAAAGCCTAGTTAAATACTAAAGTCATCTACTTAAAATGCTGTCTTCAGAAGATAGTGATGAATTTCAGAATGTTCCTTATTGGTTTAATCAATGTATCTGGAAATTTTCCTTACTATAAATACAGAAAGAATTATTTATACCAATGCCAAATATGAAGGTCAAATATATATCACATATTGTAAAAATTTTGTTCAAATACCAGAAAAGGAAGACTACAGAAAGCCAAAAGGATTTAAAAATTTTGCCTAAACTATAGTTCTTGCATGGTTATTTTTATAATCTTTTTTGAAACTTCTATTTTAAGAAAATCAAAACAAAACATCTTAAAACTTCTCAAATTTCATGTTTTATTATTTCATTACTAAATGATATTAAACTTTTAACATTTTTAAATGTGTTTGATTTGTTTTGGCTGGAGGGAAAATAATTGCTACAATTAAAATGCTGAATTTTCTATTTTTCAGATGAATTCAAATTCTTCATGAAAAGACTACCCATGAATTATTTCCTCAACACATCAACAATCATGCATTTGTGGACAATGGATTCTAATTTTCAGCGCCGCTATGAACAACTAGAAAACAGCATGAAACAACTTTTCCTGAAGGCACATAGAATTGTCCACAAGCTCTTTAGCCTTAGCAAACGGTGCCACAAACAGCCGCTCATCAGCCTACCGAGACAGAGGTAAGACTGGGAGATTGTGACACTGTGCTTCTGTTCTAACACACAGTACTGTTTTCCCCTGAGTGCAGGTGTGGCGATACACAGTGCATATTGTTTTTACTAAAAGAGTAGATTCCCTTGTCTCAAAATAATGCATTTCTGTGGTGTCTAAGTAATAGTACAATGGGGGAATATATACATTGATACTCTTTTGTTTTCTTTTTTCTGTTACTAAAATCAAGGGTGCTTTATTTTTTTATGGTAGTCAATTATTAACCCTACTTAAATAAACACAATAAAACAAATCCTCAGAGTTAAACAGTGATCATATGAGCTAGACAAAAGATACAAACAGGAATTTCTCCATATCTAATTTTCCAATAAAACAATGAAAGGTTTATGATCTATCATAATTATCTGGAAATTAATAATCACATTCTAATCCATAATTTATATTAATCTAATGTTTAATATAAATAAATTAAATACATAAGTATTTTTGTCTAAACTTATTTGGAAAAACCGATGCAAAAGTTTCTAATTTAAGAAAATTTGATGATTTGCTGAAATAAAGACCTTATATTTGCCAGGCAAATGTGGTGCATGCCGTTAATCCCAGCACTCGGAGGCAGCGGATGGGGATCTCTGTGAGTTTCTGGACTGCCTGATCTAAAAAGCTACAGAGAAACACTGACAGGAAAAAAAAACAAATAAACAAAAACAAACAAAAATCCATGTATATATTTGAAGCCTGGTTAAAAATACACCAAAGAGAACATATTCAATACAGACATACACATTTTAGCAGAATTTCTGGTATGAAAATATTAGTTTTGAACCGATGCTTTAAATCATTAAGGGAAACAATCTATAGTTATAGATACCTTACAATGTTAAAAGATGCACCCTGAAGATTAAACCTGTATTAAAGTTTTGATTTAAAACTACCACAATCGCATCTTCCATAGTTTCGTGTGTTACTTCAAAACACCAAGCAATGTCTGCCATGTGAATCAAAGATTAGTTTTTACCTCACATGAAATATAAGTCAATGGACATTTACCATGTATAATTCCCATCTGTCTATAAGCTATGTATCCCTAAGACTTGTAGACCGTATTATTTGCCTCCATAGATTGGCCCATTCAAAACTTTTGCATAAAAGGAATTATATAATATGTGGTCATTGTGTGTTATGTACGCTAATTATTCTTGTCATTCACCATTTGGTAGACATTGCTTTTCCACTGAAAATTTTGACTGATTCATCTCCAAACTTCTTTGTACCTATGGTCGTTGAGGACATGCATTTTTTAATCACCTTGAGTACATACTGCAGTGAAGTTTTTCTGAATGACAAAGTAATTGTTATTTGTAACATTCTCTAGGACTTTCCAAAACTCCTTATTTCTGTTCCTGTATGATTATAATTATGAAGATTATTATTATTATTATTTGGAATTTTGAGACATAATTTCTCTGTGTACCTACCCTGGCTGTCCTGGAACTGGCTCTGTAGACCAAGTTGGTCTTAAGCTCACAGATATCCACCTATTTCTACCTCAGTGCTTGGATTAAAGGCATGCACTACAACCTCCAGGCCCTGTATGATTTTTTAATTTCACTTCTCACAAATGACATCACCTCTCATTTCATATCATACCAAAAGGCTTTTATTGTTTAATTATGAATTCTTGTATGTGTGAAGTGGAATAGAATGTGTGTAAGTCCTAGTAACTAATAATGTTAAATATCTTTTTCCTTATTATTTGCCAGTGTATCTTTATGTAGTGAAACCTGCTCACACCTCAGTAATGATTACTCTGCTGTCTTCTCTGAATGCCCTTCCTTTATCCTCTGCTTGAGAACTTAATTTTTTAATACAAAGTTTTCATATCAGTAACTTTTCTTGTGATGATTTATATCAACTGTTATTTTATTTTTTTATGTAAGATTGTTTTATTCTTTCCACATAAATTTTTAAATATATCTGTACACAATCTATTAATGCAATTTAATAAGGAATTATAATCAAAGAAATTAATCAACTATAATTAATTTTATAATTTATGTATATGGATTAAGAGCAGGTTTTTGAAGTGTTTTTTATTTATTTTGTTTTTAAATTCATTTTGCTTTTCTTCATCCTATTCCCTTCAACTCCTCCCAACCCAACCCCCTCCACTCAGGAAGAGCATGGTCTCTCATGCGGAGTCAACAAAGCACATCAAGTTGAGGCAGGACCAAGCCCCTCCCCATTGTGTTAATGCTGAGCAAGGCATCTTACCTTAGGAAATGAGTTTCAAAAACTCAGCTCCTGCACCAGGGATAGATCCCGGTCCCACTAACAGGGACCCTTCAAACAGACAAAGCTATACAGCTCTAATTCACATGCAGAGGACCTAGTTAGTTCCTGTGCAGGATTCTCAGCTGTAGGTCTAGAGTACATGAGCTTGCAAAAGAACTCATATTAGTTGTCTCTGTGGGTTTCCCAGTCATGATCTTGACCCCCTCCTTGCTCATATAATCCCTCCTCCCTCTCCTTGAGTGGAGTCCCTGAGTTTGGCCTGGTTCTTAAATGTGGATCTCTGAGTCTTCTTCTGTCAGTTACTTGAAGAATGCTCTACTATGAAAGTTAGGGTAGCTACCAATTTGAATACAGGGAAAGCCCAGTTCATACATCCTCTCCACTCTTGATATGAGTCTTAGTTGGATTACTGGATTCCACTGAAAATTTCTGTAGATTCCTGGGAATTTCCCTAGCACCAGGTTTCTCCCTAACTCCATAATGGTTCCCTCGATCAAGTTATCTCTTTCTTTACTTTGTCCATCCATCCCTCCCTCAACTCGATCATCCCAATTATTTCATGTTCACATTCCCCATCCTCTCCCTTATAGCCCACCCACTCCAGTTCACCCAGTAGATCTCAGCTATTAATCTTTCCCAGGGTGATCAATTGATCCCTCTTAGGCTTGACCTTGTAACCTAGGCTATCAGTGTCTACCAGAATGTGCTAAAAGCTGGTATTTACCCTTGATCTGAATAATCCATCTGAACTGTTTGCTATAGGAACACTTTGATTCTCTCAGAATTTATTGATTAACCGAATTGTAACATGTATGTTTTTCTCTGACCGGGCTGGGTCCCACTCCCCTTTTCTGACCCAAAGAAGCACATAGATGCTATATTAGTTATAAGCTGTTGGATGGCAACTTAGACTTCTAATTCTTAACCTGTAACTACTAATCTATGTGTTTTCTTATGGCCTTATCTTACCGGAGAAAAGGTCCGGGGCTCTTACTCCCTTGCGGTCTACATAGCATCTTCTCAGGGTCTCCGCAGAGAAGAGAATGAAAAGAGAGATTACCTGCTTGTTCCTGCTTATATTTTATTCTGCCTTCTTTGCTACTTCCTGTCTGGATCACATGAAAACTTCTCTTTACTATATTTCCCAGAATTCTCCTTCTCTCCTAGTTCCACCTATCTTTCTTCCCTATTGGCCACCAATAAAAGAAACATGTACAGAAGACTTCCCCCATCACCTAATGGCATTTTGTGAGTTGAATATATAAATAGGCTAATGTATGGACACATCTATGGAAAACAATTTTATACATATATGTACAAATTGGAATATAGTAAAAATTAATGTTTTAAGATACTTTGGCATGTTTACTAAAAAGCAATGACAAGAGCAATAGTAAGCATACTATTTTGTTACACATATCACTTAAGTTTGAATGATTTTTTTCCACATTTAAGTAATGATTTGTTGTAACTGAATTTTCAGAGTTGTTATATATGCAAGGATTCTTAACTGTACTTGTAGCAATCTGCGCTCATTTTTGTGGCAATGAGCATTGTAGTAGTCTCTACAGATATTTGGAAATTGTGTTCTCTGAGTAAACACCAAAATTCAATAGCTAGCAATATAATATGAATCTTAATTATATCATTAACCTTTTTATCAAGTAGGCAAAGTATTTTGTCCTTCTCATTCTTTGAATTGATTTTCTACCCACACAAACAAAAGTATGTATTAGCCACTTAGAAAATATTGGCTCACTTGTCTATAAATATTTCCAAAATAATTGTCATAATGCCATAGTAAAGCATCTAATTTTCTACTGTTACTATTGGACATATGAAAAAAGGCTTTACATTTCAAGAAGATGTCACAGTGGAATATAAAATACTTTCAGTTTTCTCCTTTTTAAAATTATAGTTTTATTATTGACATTGAATATGACATTTGTTTGTCTGGATATGAGTCTCATTCATTTCTGTTTTAACAATAAATGCTCTATATATTTAAATCCCCAAGAGGTGGGCCCAAATTTACGTGGATTACAACATATATTATTAAGTAATTAAACTTGCTCTTGTTATATAATCATATTCCAATATAAATATTCACTAGCAGATTTTTGGCACAGCTTCTATGATTTGTAATATGCCTTATGCAAGAAATTACCCACAGTTGTTTGGCTGCCAAGCAATGAACTTATAAATACCATAAAAATTCTCAGCATTCTATGAAAATTGTTTTAGGCTGTGTATTACTTATCGGAGTTCTTCTATATTCTTATTCCATTACCATGGATACCTATATCTGCGAAAAGTATTCTTTGAGTTTTCTGGATGTTTTTTCCTCCCCAAAAGGACTTAATAAACCCAGATGATGAATTGTCCCTTGCTGTCTTCCATTGCGAAAACAACTGCATGAATTTGTCCTAAGCATGTGCTACATTAGTAATATAGCACCCCTTTGCGTTTAAGAGTGATACATGTTAAATTCTCATCAAATATAAGCAAACTGAAGGCAGTCATTATAGTTTAAAACAGTCCCTTAAAAACATATGGGTAAGTATCATCTCTCTTCTTACTTCTTCCTGAATAAAAGCATATATCCTGGTTGTAACTAAAAGTTTATATGGGGACATTTGTGTAGAAGCACAGAGCCCAATATCTTTCATGATAGTATGTTTGTATTATTTGAGTTGATACTGGTTTTTTAGAG